AGTGCATGCCAATGCACAACAGAGCCAGTCCCCTGACCTCCCGATATACAGGACACTTTGGTTCTCAGGATGAGAGATTATAAACGTAGCTTAGATGCTGCCTCACACACTTTGCATAATAAAACATTTATATGCTGTCATGAAGAGGGTACAAAGTCTAAGTCACATGGCAGACTGGCTGTTCTCAGCTTCTCCGTTCGGGCAGGTGTGAGAGACAAGTTGTAGATATGCCACCAGTGAAAGCATATAAATGTATCTGGTGCAAACGTTTTACAAGAGTATTTATAAATGATTCAACAAGGGAGAGCAAGAAAGAGAGAGAGCTAAAGTGCAATTTTAAAGTAATATAAATAATTGAAACGTAGAAATAAGATACTAATTAGTTGTAACTGGTTTTGTTTTATAGGCACAGTTTAGTTTTTATGTCTACAGATCAATCTTTTTCTCTTCTTCCCCCTCCAGTAATTTTCTCTGATGTATAATGGAGTTTCAATGGTCTAAATCTAAGGAACACTGCTTAGTAAGAGGACAGAAGAGGCAATGATAAGGCAGTATAGTGCAACTCACTATGTGATATTAGAAAAGAAACAAGGATGGGGTTAGATCTTCCATGGTGATGTATAAAAATCTGCCTTGAAAAAAAAAAAAAACAACAGGAGAAAAAAAAAAAGACAGGCTTTCCAGTTATCTGTTGACTCATGCTTTCTAAAATGAGAGAGCACATTTTCCAATACAAAGGAAACAACTGAAGGTTCATAATTTGTTTTGTTGTTACCAAAAAAACAAAAGAAAAAAGGAAAAAAAGAAAAAAAAAAAGCAGATGCTGCTTTAAGGAAAACATTTAATTCTAGGAATTTCTGTACAACTGACCTCAGCAAGCTTTTCCATCTTAGATGGATAACTTCTGCTTGAGACCCTGAAAGATTAAGATGCACACACACCTAGAGTAGTTTATTGCAAAACTAATATTGTAACTTAAAAAAACAAACAAACAGATTCTGTACAAGAATACTGTTCAAATGGAATGTGTTAAAATAACATTTATTAATAAATACTTTATAAAATTCTATGTGAATACTAAATTAATAGATTCCTGTTTTAAAATTGCTTTGGTCCTCATGAATTTTCATAAATTCACTCTATACGCTTTTTTTTTTAAAAAAGGTATTAGCTGCTAAAAAGCACATTTTGCCTAAACTAAAAGGCTAGTTTTCAACGCTAAATATTGTTGCTTAAAAAAATATGAATCCTCAAAAGTTGGGCATTTAACAACAGTTATAGCTGGCTTGTTAGTTAACAGGACAGAGTCAGTTAACACACTAAATCCACACGCACTGAGGCACTGAACCATTGACTTTCCACTATTCAGAAGATGGGCAGCAGACATTTAGCTTCGTAGCAGGAATTAACTCCCAACAGCGTGAAATTCTCCATAAATCATCATCATCGTCATCATCATCGTCCTTATAAAACACACCATGATAGCACACAAACTACTTGTCTCCCACAGGCAGCGTTATGAATATGGCTTGCATAAATTGACTCAGGGAAGGGGTGGGGGTGGGGGTGGGGATGAAGGAACCGGATCACAGCATCGTTTCTGATCAAAGTATTGCAGTTGTCCATGGCTGAGATTTCCAACGCGCTTCCGACGACGTGCGATGAGAGATGCCGTCCACAGAAACACCTCCTCCTGAGCGAGGCGCTGGCCAAGGCTCGCCGCCCTGCGAGCGCCCGGGAGAGCGGGCGAGGGAAGCGGTCCAGGCTGGATTTGCGGGGTAGGAGGAAAGCGGAGCAGTCTCCAGGAGTAGCTCGTGGAAAAGCAGGATTTCTCCTCGATGGAAAGAGCCCGGGAAGTGCATTTAGAGTGACGTGCTGAGGAAGAGGCCGCTGCCACCGACGGGGCAGTGGAGGGACATCCCGGGGACAGAGGGGCAGGGGCTTCTCCCGCAGCCCTTGCTCAGGCAGCCCCCGGTGCCCGGCCAGACCGGCAGCTTGAGGAAAGGCTGCAGGATCACTCCCCTGGAAAACAAGAGCATTTTAACGTGGAAGCAAATCCGATGAATAATATAAGGTGCCTGGTACAGTTGGTCCTTTTACCGATGATATAGCCGATATAAATATGCTGCGTGTTGTCTTGGCCTGTGAACCTGCGACAGAGTTACAAGAAGCAATAGCAAATAGCTTTTCATCCTTTACTTATTTCCACATCACTAGCAAGGATTATACCTAAAGGCCAATAGTATAGAGAGGAGACATTTCATTGTAATTATACATTTAGGCCAACATGTGTGGTTGGCTTGCCTAGTTAGCATTAAAAAAAGAAATAATTGAGCTATATATAATACACATCAGTCAAACTGTCAAGTTGCTGAATTTAACAAAACTTAGGCAAGGTTTTTGTATTTTTTCTTTTTTTTTTTTTCTTTTTAATGTAGAGGCTTTCAGTTTAACAGCTAAATATTTTAATTGAGGAGGCTGAATAAAATGAAGCTAAACCGTAATTCTAGTGCAGTGTAGCTCAACTGGATATTCTAATATTACCAACAACTTTGATTTTTATTTTTTAATGTACTTAAGTACTATCCATGTAGAGGGAAATTTTTTTAAATTAACCCTGCAATGGCATTTTCTTTATCATGGTGAATGATGAAATTCAGACACAGGGGAAATGCTTATTTGGGTTTTTTTACATAGTGGATACTCAGCTGGAACATTTTGCTCAACTGCATATTTGAAAGAAGTTCCCTTGGGAGCCGTGATGAAGTAAAACCATTTAGCTATTACAACTGGAGGTTAAAAAAAATTATAGATTCAGTATTTAAAACACTTTAAAAGTATATGTTTGTCTAAAATATAATAGAAAATCCTTTACATTTATATTTTTTCGTAATTTTTTTTTGGTTCTTAGACTATATAATCAAGTCAAGATTTACACTGTACATTAAAAATCTTCTTCTTTTGAATGTATTTGCATAAATGGAAAGCGAGCTGTTAAAGAATACTGATAAAAAGTTAGCTACCAAGAGAAGAACTAATTCGGAAATGAATGATCCTCAGAATTTTGCTTTCCCTTCCAGGCGGGCCCTGCTCCTTACAGTCCCTCACGCTTCAGTTGTTTCACTCTCCCTCCCACACGGAGAAGAGCCACCCTTTTAAAACCCACGGATCCTCTGAAAACCAAAGACGCAGCCTTTGAGGAGAACTTCTCTTCGGCACAAAGTGTGTTCAGGGCTGGAGGATTTGCCAGGAATAACATGAATTAGCTTTTGCTATTAAAGATGCAGCTCAAAATGTTTGAACGTTTATCACCAGCTCGGAGCCCGCTTCCCGGGTAAGCAGCGGGAGGTTTTGCCGCTGACAGATTGGAGAGCAAAATCAGGTCCCAATATACGGCAAGGCAGTGTAATTAACTGGCATCATCTCCGTCTGATTTTCCCATCAATCACGGGTACCACTTGGGGATGCAAATCAGCCGCGCTGAGGGGCAGGCCCAATGTCCAAACAAAAACCTTAATTGTGGCATAAGGCTCTTTTCCAGACCCTCTTTGCAGGACTGAATTTTATCCAGGGTGCAGTGGGATTTGCCATTCTTGCAGCACTTTTTAGCGGCTGCATGCCTTCTAAAAATTATTTAGCGTCCTAATGAGACAACTCCCGACCCGCGGTAAACAGGCGTTAAGTGCCATTAAAGGCAGTGAAGCTACACAGCTGTCTGCCAGCTCAGGTCGGTGGATGCTTAAAGGAATGCCTGCGGAGAGCAGGTCTTTCCCTGGGAATTAAAAATGGTATTTTTCCAACTGGTCAGAACCGTTATGCTGATTTATTTCTCATTTATAGCCCGTGAAACCTGAGGCTGTTCGCTTTCAGTGCTAGAACAATGTAACTGGGTTAGGGAACAGAACTTTTCCAAATTACTATAAATACTACATGGGTTTTTTTCTAAGTTAACAACTGGCAGCGCAAAAGAATTGCTGTGATTCTCAGGTGTTGCTCGCTATGCCTGTACCGCCCCACAGAAGCTTACAGGGCTGCAAGCATCAACACAGCTGGATCTCAATCCTGCTTCACCTGGGGCTGCACTGCTTTCTCCTTTCCCTGTTTATTAAAAACACTAAATCAGGAGCATTTCTATTTTTTAAAAGCCAAACGCTCAGCACAGCCCAGCTGCGGGTGAAGAGCTAGTGAAAGCAGCAGCCGTGCCGACAGCTTTTAGGTGGGCTTGAAGTTTTTGCTTGTTCATCACCATTCTTTGAGAAAGAGAGGGAAGTGAGAAAGCCTTGGAATGAAAACAAAAAAAAAAGCAGGGAAAAAAAAGCTGGGGAATGAAAAGGGTTTGGGAAGGGAAAAGGAAGGTGTAAGAGTAACTGGGGGAGAAAAAGGGCAGGGTAGGAGAGAGAGGAGAAGTGGGGGTGTGTGGGGGGGTAGACAAAAGAGCATGTTATTTGGGCTTGATTTTGTCCTGATAGCCACATCCTATATAACCGCTTTGAAGGAGGCTCTGAATGCAAGAAGGGGTCTGCTGATAGCACAACGCTAACTCATTTTTTATTATGCTGTCAGCAGATGCCCTCTCTCTATATTTATAGCCTAATTACTCCTAGTTACCTACACATGACTCTGTTTAATACTTTTCATGCCTCACGTTGGCTAACAAGCTGCAGTTTAACACAACTCCGTATTTCTGAGGCTTCAGGCTAGATTGGTGAGAAGGAAACGTGACTATGTACAGAAACAGTTAGGTTTATAAACAAGTAACTGGTACCAAAAAAACTGGAGAAAGCACCAAAGCATTTCTCAAGCTGATAGCATATTAATTGCATAACTCCCTTTTATGTAACTAAGTATAAAAGACATTTTAATAACTATAAAAATGAAAGCCAGAGTCTTTCAAGAACTGAGGAATCTTCCAGGCTTGAGTTACGGTTGCAAATGTTCTTAGCACAGAGGACGCTTTGATACGCTACCACACTCCCCTAGCAGTTTCTGATCAACCACTTTTAAAGGATGGGGTTGATGTCTGTTCTGTGGCTGGCGAGCTGGGTGAGAGTGGAGCTTCCCACGACGTCGCTGACGGAGGAGGAGGTCGTGATGGTGTTGTGCTGGATGACCTGCTGCTGGGAGCAAGCTGGGACCGGGCTCGCGGGAGGACTGCTTTCGGGACCTGGGAAGGGGATGAGGGGACAGAGACAACACACGTTCAAATTATCCACCCGAGTAACGAGCCCAGGCTGGGTGACACTCCCAGCAAAGGGATGTACTCTACTGCAGCAGCAACACTGGCAACTAGAGGCATGCACAGGTCCCAGGATTTCAAAACAGGCAGTTTTCCAACACTGTCTGTCTTCTCATCTTTTGCAGTTTTTGTTATCTTTTTTTAAGTCAGCTTCTCTGATATCAACCTGACTTCAGGAGCTAGGACCTTGAAAAAAGTCCAGGTCCTTAACGATTACAAAAACCAATGTCAGGGTAAAAAGTCCGATATCTTAAGGTCTATAAAATCAGTAGGGATGCTTAAATGCTTTATTCGCTCCAGCAGGGATCAAAATCAGAGTGCAGTGCACTGCAGCACAGAAAATCTAATTCAAGCAACAGTTGATAGGCACATAACGCAATTATGTATTTTTTTTCTCTGAGTACTGTTAAAGAGCCAGATGCATAGTGATGCAGAGGAGACAGAAATGAGCTCTATTTTAAGACAATGCTGCAATTTAGCAAATATTAACCCTGAGGCTCTTCTCAGCCATTCTAGAGCCAAGCAAAGAATTTGTCCCTAAATTACCACACTCATAAAATGCATCGACAGCATCGATCCAGCGTCTCCTTTAGATGAGATTTTTGGAAAAAAAAAAAAAAGAAAGAGAAAAGAGTTAAAAAAGAGTTAACAAACCTTGAAAACCTGTGCCAGGCCTGGTCTGCGCCACTGTCAGAGCACAGTACCATTTTCGCTGGAGGGGACTGTAATGTTTTCCTTTTTAACTTTCCTTTTGAGAGTTATTTTAAGGTGCTGGCAATGCTGCGCCCAGGAGGACTCTTGCAGGTTTGGAGCTGTGAGTTCAAGCGGGATCCTCCACAGGGGAGCAAGCGTCCATCCGCGTGCATCTCCGTGCCGAAGGGAGGGGTGGGGAAGGCTAGCTCTGCTGTGGGGGGTGCAAACCAGGGCTGTTTTGGGGTTGAGCGGGGCTGCATAAATAAGGGCAGGAGATCGGATGGCTCGGATGATGTTTGAGAAGACAGGTTCAAGTGAGAATATGACCAAGAAGGGGCTCTGGAGGGAAGAATTAGACACTTTGCTGTCCTGTGAGGAGTGTGGAGACAGTGCAAACATACCAGCTACTTACTTAGATATCCTTGCGACTCTTTCTGCATAGCTGTTATCGGACAGTCTTTATGCGTTAACAATAACTGTTTCAGCTGTGCTACCTCATTTTTCAGCATGGAAACCTCGTTCTAGAAAAGAAAGAGAGGAGGTGGTTTGCCAGAAAGCTTGAGCCAGGCTCTTCTGCAAAGTTTAAACCCCAGAACACAGACACTGCCTGCAACTTCAGAAGAACTGAGCAAAACTGACGCTCAGCGCTCGTGTGCTTGGGTTTATGTTAACATTTGTCCATGACATTATTTTATAACTTCTTGGGAAGGCAATTTGGCTTCCAGATTTGATGACACAAACTGACAAGTGGGCTGACCCTTCACAGCACCAGAGACGCTTCAGGCAGTGTTTTAAGCCACTTGGGAAATACTCTGGCTCTCTGCATTCAGGACCTGGGCGGGGGGGAATGGCAGCCTGCCGCGCTGGGCGGTGCGGTGGCAGGGCTGCTGTCACCCACAGCACATCACCTGCAGCACGTCACCTACAGCATGTCACCTATGGCTCTGCTACAGCTGGCGCCTGGGTGCTGCTCACACCTCTCTGCTTGGGAGGAGTATGTTTTTTGGGGAAGTGCCATTACATGAATGGTCTTTCCGCTCTTGGCAGCACACGGGTGCACCCCTGGATGGGGCAGAAGTACTGTGCCCACAGTAAGAAGGGCTCCACCATAAGAAGGGCTTTTATTATATTAATGCAGGGTATTTTCATCCACCCACTTTGTTCTTTTCCTTACTGGTGGGCTGATCTATTTACGCTCCTATCTCACTGGCTTTGACTGAGGGTTTAGCTACATGCCCCGCTCTGAAGAAGTCTTTTACAGCCGTGTTAATGGCACTTCCAAAAAAAATCCCCACAAAAAGCGGTGACAAGAAAAGAAAATAAATACAACCCCGTCTAGCGGAGGCTTCTAAATCCCAAGACAGCTTTTTCCTGGCTTATCCTGCTAAAATGCAATTATTTCCTTAATTGAAGCACACACATCTTGATTAATCGACTTTGATTATGCCTGTGCTCCCGCTAGGAGCCGGCTGTGCGGGGGCAGCCCCGAAGGCGGCGAGGCCCCGCCGGCACCGCCAGCACCACCGAGCACAAAGAGCCCCTCTGTGTCCTCGGGGGCGCAGACAGTGGCTCGCACCTGAAGCTGCATGTTTGTCTGGGTGAGCTCTTCTGCTTTCTTTTCCAGTGACATCACCCAGACCTTCCTCTTCTGTCTGCAGCGCGTGGCGGCGGCTCGGTTCCTTTCCAGAAATTTCCGTCTCCTCTCATCCGGGTCTTCGTCCACCACTCTCCTCCGACGACCTCCGGTCGGCTGCGGCGGCTGTATCGTCTGCGTGGGCTGCATCTGCTGCGCCGCCGGCGAAACCTGGCGGGGAAGAAGAGTTTTGGCAGGGGCTGGTGAGGGGGGGAAAGTTACGGAGGGGGATGCTGAAAGGGGAAGGGAAATCTCACACGCTCCTCCTGCTCCCCGGCGAGGTCTGCGACAGGCCAAAGCCGAAAGGCTGCGCCAGATGTCACTGAAATTAGCTGCTGGCAGATCCTTGCCGTGGTCGAAGGGGAGAGTTTTTTGAAACGATCCTCTGAATATTAGCAGGGAAAATATTATTCCCCTTACAGTTATTAAAAACATTTCACTTAGGTACTTCTCTGCCACCACCTATTTCAAACCTGAAATGTCAAGTTTCTCTCAGCAACTGTTTTAATCAAAGCAGAAGACTGTAGGTGCCTTATTTCTGTCTCTCTTTTTCTTTCTTTTTTTAAAATTACAACCAAAATTTTAGGACATTTCTATTTCAGTCTCCTCCATCTCTATCTCACACTTTCCCACCTCTGGAGGAGGAGGCTGCAGAGCTCTTTGCACCGGAGGGAGCTGGAAAGCCGTGGGCTGGGACTGTGCAAGGCCAGCAGACCTCAGTGACCCTCAGCTGGGGGCAAAAGAAAGGATTTAGGTACCTGAAGTCAAACTTGCATTTTGGTATCCCTGCACTGCACGGAGAAGGGATATTCCCCTTCTCAGGTGTTTCCAATTGAGCCCTGTGGATCCTGTACTCCCTTTTTTCCAGCAGCCTGGCTTTGACAGCAGAGGCACACCACATCCAGTCCCGCTGCTACGGAACATTGGAAAAATATGTATTTATGCTTTTTCAAGTGCAGGAGAGTATTGACCCTGCTTCTGAGAGTAACTGGCCCATGCCATTACAGAAAAGGTGAATGGTGGGGGCAGCCCCACACAGTCTGTGCTCCGACTCCTGGGCAGATGAAACCCATGCCCACGTCCCCGTCAGGAACCAGAATCAGACTTAGCATTCAGCTGCCTGGGAATAGCCAGCTTTTGGGTGGCTTTCCTGCCTCTCTGTGGCGCCCAGGCCACGGGGCTCTGGCCCGTGCTCGGGGCTCGGGACCCCGACAACCCACGGCTCCCGTTGCTCGCACGCGACAGGAGCCGCTGCCGCTGCTCACGTTGCCGCCACTGCCACTCTGGCACAGTCTGGAACAGTCTGGAAACCTGAATTGTTGACTCAAAAGTAACCCTCTTGTTCTGGCAAAGGCCCAAACCTCCAAGGTGCTTCCTTTTGACTCCAGGGAGTGGATGTACTCAGCGCTTTGTCAGACTGAGCCCTGAATTTCAATTGCGGCAATTAACATGTGTTTGCCTAACACCTCTGTCTGTCTCAATTAAAATGATACTATCGTCTTGCAAGGTCGCTTTTCTGTCTAGAATCTCACCACAAACTCCGAAGAAGAGTTTGCTCCCTCCCTCAGCTGACTGATGTCAATTAAAGTGGCAATTTTAGGTGTAATTATTCGGTGCATCTGATAACGCTTTTTGCATAAAGCCGAATTTATTCCCAGCTTTATGTTGCACCGTCAGGGAATCTCTCACACAGGAGCAGAAGAATGTTTTTTAAAAAATATCCTTCTAAAAATAAATAAGCCACCCTGCATGTTCTGGCTGATTTTTAAAATTTCTGCTTGTATTAAATCTGTACGTTCGCTGGTCAAATCTCCAACCTTCTGTCCACACCGGGAGTTGGAGTCCCAGGGCTATGGCAGCGGCAGAGGCTGCAGCCACCAGCATGGTGCAGGGTCACTAGCCAGCGCCACGCAGGACCGCCGGCCACTGTCCCTCTCCCTCTCCCTGCCAGCATCCCCAGCCGGGAGATCGCTGCCGAGGGATGCCAGCTGCTCCCCATCCACCAGGGCTGGGCACGCTGCCTCTTCAGCAAGATGCCTGAGTGCAGAGGCTTCAGAGATCCCTTCTAATGTCAACATCTCATCAAAGGCCTTTCATTTTCTCACACGCAACACCTTTCGGGACTTCAAAGATTTGTTATTTTTGTTTCTGGACACCAAAAGCTTTCCTTAACCCATTTCTCTCCTTTTTCATCCAGCATTAAAAATTCTTGTTTCTTAATTCTACCAGTTGGGTCTGCTACACAGGCAGAAAAAGCCAACTATAGGTTTCTTTTTTTCCTCTTTCCCCTCATATGGGCATTTTCTCCTGAATAACCAGTGAGTCCTTTTGTTTTCAGAATGTAGCAGTCCATCTTTGGGCAGTCAGAGAGCATTTTCGGAACAACAATATCTTCTTTCCATCTCTGGCAGATATTAATTATAAAGGTTGCCATTACATCACTAATAATGTCACGTGGGATAATTAACTGGCTCTTACTAGATAGCTCTTAACCCTGAAATCTGTTAGGTTATGTCTTAGTAACTGTCTAAACATCATTCTCTAGCAGGATTTTGCTGCCCTGCCTAGGGACGTAAGAAAGAAAATGAACATATATTAAAATTGAGGCTAGTATTTTGGTTTTGGGGATGCTAATCCCGTATCCATAATGAAGACAAGCATAGGACAGCTAACAGCATGAAGCGACATCCAAACCTCTATTCTGCTTAAGCTACCTCTCTGGCAAATTTGGTATGAAGAAACCTTCATGGGAACAACACATGACTAATAGTGTCATTTTTGTAGCAGTTGAGGCAACACAGCTACAACTTGATAAAATACCTCCTTCTCAGGAAGATACCTATCAGAAGGTGATTTCTACTTTTATCCTTGATCCAATATTTCTCTCTGTTCTTTAACTTCCTACAAAACTAATACCCATTCATTCATTCTACAAAAGCATAATTCATTGGGCTCCTGTGTATCAAAATGGTAGCTGAAAAACACGAAATGAATTCTGACATTACAGAAGGGTGTGGTGTAGAGTAACAACAGTCTCAGCATGGGAGCACACAGCTCAGAGCGGCGTGGACCATGCTGTTATTTGGCAGGTGGTTTGGAATGAAAGAATCTGGCTCAGAAGAATGAGGAGGTTGATAATTAGTAAAATGCACCATAAAATTAGTGTCTGCTGGAGCAATCTGACCCCCAGAGAGGCCATTACCATGGGGACTATGGATGAGCTTAGGAAGTAATAACAGTGTGGTTATTACTCAGCAAACCCTTCTTTTCTCCCCATTAATGCATCTGTTCAGAAATCACTATTGCCTTCGCACCATGGGAACAAGAGCTCTGCTGCCTGGGGAAGCTGCTGACCCTAGGAGTCCTGCTCAGCCTTGTCAGCCATCACCTTCCGTTCCCATCCTCTTGGTGACACTTAGACCTATGGACAAGGTGAAGACCTCCTTGATCCCTGATGGGGCCTGTTGCCTCCGGTGACATGCTGTGCATGGAAAGGTTCATCTGGCTGTGGGCCCGGCTCAAGACTGGAGTGAATCTGACATAGCTTTGTGGCTGCCAGTCACCCCACCTACCCTGGTGCCCATATTTCTTCTTGCCTGCTTACAAATTTTTGGGATGCCTAGCTAATGGAGACTACAAACCACAAAGAGTTGAGGCTGTCCTAACTGGAATGACTCAAACCCATCTTCAGCAGCACATAAGTTAAGAGGAAGAGGTGGATGTTATGGCAGGACCCCTCTCGATCATCTACCAAAGGTCTTAGGAGTCTAGGGAGGTCCCTGCTGGCTGGAAGCTAGCCAATGTTTCCTAATCTACAAAAAGGGTGTGAGGGAAGACCCAGGGAACTACAGACCTGTTAGTCTAACCTCAGTTCCTGGAAAAATTATAGAGGAGATTATATTGGGTACTACTGAAAAGCATTTAAAGAATAATGCAATCATCAGGCAGAGTCAACATGGGTTCACAAAGGGAAAACCCTTTTTAACTAATTTAATATGCTTCTATGATAAGGTCACCCACCTAGTGGATGAAGGGAAGGCAGAGGATGTAGATTTTCTGGATTTTAGTAAGGCTTTTGATACTGTTCCTCACACCATCCTTCTGGACAAGTTGTCCAACTGTAGGATGATGGGTTCATGGTGTGCTGGGTAAAGAACTGGCTGAAGGGCAGAGCTTAACAGGCTGTAGTTAATGAGGCTACATCTGGCTCACAACTGGTCACCAGTGGTGTTCCTCAGGGTTTAATGCTAAGGCAGTTCTGTTCAATACATTTATTAATGATCTGGATGCAGGAGTTGAATGCACCATTAGCAAGTTTGCTGATGATACTAAACTGGGAGGTGCTGTTGACTCTCTTGACCACATGCCTTGCAGAGGGATCTAGATAGATTGGAACATTGGGCTATAATTAATGGGATGAAGTTTCACAAGTCCAAACGCCAGATTCTGCACCTAGCATGGAGTAACACCAGGCACAAGTATAAATTAGGAGAGGAGTGGCTGGAGAGCAGCCCTGCAGAAAGGGCCCCAGGGGTGTGGGTCGGCAGCTTGCTCAATAGGAGCCAGCAGTGCACCCTGGCAGCCCAGAGGGCAAACCCCATCCTGGGGTGCATTAAACACAGCATCACCAGCTGGTCAAAAGCGGTGATTGTCCCACTGTATTCAGCATTGGTGAGGCCTCCTCTGGAGTACTGTGTGCAGTTCTGGGCCCCACAATTTAAGAAGGATGTGAAGGTCCTTGAATGTGTCCAGAGGAGGGCAACCAAGCTGGTGAAAGGGCTGGAAGGCATGTCCTGTGAGGAGCGGCTAAGGACTTTGGGCTTGCCTAGTGCTCAAACACTGGAACAGGCTTCCTAGACCGGTGATCGACACCCCAAGCCTGTCAGTGCTTAAGAGGCATTTGGCAATGCCCTTAATAACATGCCCACGCTCCTCCTGATGCAGCCCAGAGTACGGTTGGCCTTCTGGGCTGCCAGGGCACATTGCCGGCTCATGTCCAGCTTTTTATCCACCAGCACCCCCCAGTCCCTCTCGGCAGGGCTGCTCTCAATCCTTTCTCCCCCCAGGCTGTATTGATACTGGGGGAATACATGCTTATAAACATGCTTTAACTTGGTCAGCCCTGAAGTGGTCAGGCAGTTGAAGTGGATTATCATTGTAAGTCCCTTCCAACTGAGATAGACCATGCTATAGTCTGTTCTATTCTATAGGTGGCTGTAGCACACTGGCTCATTGGCTGATGTCTTATCCTTAAACTTGGGAGGTTTGTTTTCTCTAGTAGCTGTTTTCTCCTCACCTGTCAAAAGTGGCAATATGGATGTTTTGCAGCAGTGCTCCATACTGTGGTATCTGACTCCCTCACCTGCATTAACATGTTTATCCTCCCAATCCCTCGGTGAAGTGTCAGTGCTATTACCCTTGTTTTAAAAGCCTCAGAGAGGTTAAGTGACTTCCTCTACCTCATTCATGGGGTCCTCAGTCTGCTAAGCACAACTTTATCCTTACTCTCCCATGGATCTCCAAGACAGCCATCAGGTTACTTTTGGTTTCTCTGTTATGAGATAATGTCTGTTTATTGGAGTTTTTAAACAACTCCAAAGAATATAACTCATTAACAGATGGGAAAATAATTGAATTCAGAAAGTAAAAACTGAACTAAACTTAGGAGAGCTCTGGACATCTTCTCACAGGGGAGTCTGCTTCTTTCTTATTTAGACTGTTTCTCTAAAGCTGACAATTCATTTTACATTAGCAAATGCTTTAGGGAAATCCCATGTGCTTGCAGCCTCTGCAATAATAAAGCTAGATGTTAGTAAATAGTTAATGTTGTGGGACACTGGGATGTCAGCCAAATCCTCTCATTTTCTTTAATGTTTTCTAAGAGCTTGTCTGAAAGGTATTTGCAAGCAACACAATACTTCACAGATTGAACTTATGGTTGGCACTCCTTCTTGTCCTCATTCTACACGCTGCCCGCTTGTCTTCCTTAAATTTGCTCCCCTGACCTGACATGTTACAGTCACCAGCCCAGAGCTTTATTTTTCTTGTGCAGTCCTATGCAGAAGCCTATCATCTTAAGACATTAATAGAATTCCTCTTAAAAATGACTCTGCTGAAGTCCATGCTCACTGGTTCATTAGTTCAAGAAACATTCAGTTCAGATATTGAATTACCCAAATTGCTGAAGCCAATATACCTAGTCCAAAAATTGAGACCTTCGTCTCATTCAATGGAGGCCTTCACTGCGTTCTCATCACCTGAATCCAAATCAAAATTGCCTTCCTGGTTTAGAATCACAGAATCATAGAATGTTTTGGGCTGGAAGGGACCCCTAGAGGCCATCTAGTCCAACCCCCCTGCAGTGAGCAGGGACACCGCTAACTAGATCAGGTTGCTCAGAGCCCCATCCAACCTGGCCTTGAATGTTTCCAGGGATGGGGCCTCCACTCCAGTGTTTCACCACCCTCATTGTAAAGAATTTCTTCCTTATAACTAGTCTAAATCTACCCCCTTTTAGTTTAAAACCACTACCCCTTGTCCTGTCACAGCTGGCCCTACTAAAAAGATTTTTCCCATCTTTCCTATAGGCCCCCTTTAGGTACTGAAAGGCCGCAATCAGGTCTCCCCGCAGCTTTCTCTTCTCCAGCCTGAACAGTCCCAACTCTCTCAACCTCATAAGAGAGGTGCTCCAGCCCTCGGAACATTTTTCTAGTCCTCCTCTGGACCCGCTCCAACAGTTCCATGTCCTTCTTGTGCTTTAAAATGCCTCTCCTTGGACTTGCTTCATCTTTGCCCCTGTTACAGCATCCACCAACTATTGCCTGCACTCCCAGCTAGTCTTGGCTTTCTCTCATACTCTGCAGTTGGGGGCTGCTATTCCCTTCACAGGGTCTGGATTCTTTCTTCTTTTCCTCTAAGCCAGTGTATCTTACCTTAAAGATACCTCTACTATCTTCAGGCTTGAAAAAACCACACACACACACCCCACCCCACGCCCTCACTGCCATTTTTCTTCACTGAAGCACTATGTATTTCTGCAGGTAGAACACATACAGCTCTTTAAATCTTGGCCTGAGAAGTTTAAGTTCAAGCATATTAAGCAACATATATAACATGCTAATCTCCATAATACACCTCATCTATAAAAAGTTACGTGGCAATTTGCGGAGCTCAGAGCACTGAAAAACCTCGGAGCTCCTTATTAAGTAAGATATTACAAATGTCTAGCAAATTAAGCAACAAACTAAGTTGTTGCTTCACTCCATGTTCTGAATAAAGTTTGCACTTCCCCACCACTGGTAGCAGACATTTGTGAGTGGCCTCAGGGGCTTGTATCTAACAAGACACATGTGCAAGAGAAACAATTTGGGGATCAGGCTTTAACTCCACATAACAGCAAAACTCAGCGATGCAGCATGGTATGAAGGTCTACCTGTGCTTGTCCGCCTGAGTGCAGCGGGGGGTGCGGCGAGGTCTGGTGATGTGCCGGGTGCGCGTGAAGGTGCGAGTGGGAGTGGTGGTGGGGATGATTCTGCTGGTGATGAGGCTGAGGATGAGGATGGTGCGCCGGATGCTGGTGCTGATGCGGGTATGAGTGATGAGGTGGCAGCGTCTGGTGCTGATGAGGATGTGAGTGCATATGATGGTGTGGCGTCTGGTCCTGCCGCGAGCTCATCATTTCCATCATGTGGCCCATGGTGTTCATATTCCCATTCGACATGGCGGCAGGATGATGACTCAATGCTGCCTTCAGCCTCTGGAACAGAACAAGGCAGAAAATTCAACATTCATACATGATGATCTGAGCAATCAAAATAAGATTTCTGCTGTTGTAGAAATGGTGCCTTGTCCTGTGTTTTGAGATTTCTTTAGTTTTTTCTTGCTATTCCCTTGATAAAAGGCATCTTATTTCAGTTTGAGAAAGAACATATTCTTGGGCTCTAATCTAATTTTCCACTGTAAATATGTAAAGATATAAACATCTGAACTGAAATTTAACAGTTACACATTTCCTACTGTGCTGCTGAGGAAAAATAACTGGCTCTCATCCTTTTCTCTTTGGCCAGCTCAGTAGCGTTAGCTTAGTCAAGCTTGTATTCTTGCAACTTTTAAAAAGGGAAGTCTAATCAAAATAAGGGTGAAACAAAGTTCCCCTCTTGTTTTTACTACAGATATTATTTAAAAGACTCATTCATAAATATATTGCATTGATGTGTTTTTCAAATTCAGGCTCAAATACAGTTGTACTGGCACCCAACCTGGTCTTTCATCAGAAAGACAGAAGATAATGATCCTCTTTCTTTGCTGGAAAGTTCAAACGTCTGCTGTGTTGTTGTCACATGCTAGTCCCTCTCTCTGTTTTGTACTCCTCGTCTTTTGTACTGTCACCAGATTGGGCCCTGGAGTCCTGACCAGGGCAAAACTGTCCTTAATGGGATTCGTTCACTTTTGCCTGAACACTGCCAAAGGGAAATGGGAAGGGCTGCCACATTTTGGACTGCAGGATAGGGTCAGCTATAGCTGAAATACAGAGGAAAAAAAGGTTCCCTTTCAGCGCAATGTCAGGGTCATCCCAAAGCTGTGAGCTGTAGTGGCATACAGACATCTCACTGGTGTCATCCTACCCTTGGACTAGTGAAATCACCGACATCCTAGAAGAGTGTGCCAAAGGTAGAGCCTGGCAGATGTCAACTAGAAGAAGTGCTCCTTCCAAACTCATGGAGACCTCCTTTGCATCCATGGTTCTGTGTCTTGCTCAACGTAGAACATTCTTTACAGGCAGCCACCCAAGACCTCTTTACCTCTTTACATTTTTGAAGAAGTCAGTGTAAGCTTGGTTTACTCTCACTAACGCAAGCAATTAGTCAGCAGAAAACGGTAAGATATAAATGGAAGGAAGGATGTCCACAGTATTGCTTAGTGCCAGACTAGCATGATCTGAATAACGCATCAACTAGCTCATAATTCATTATCCAGCCAGAGGATGTAATGAATAGCAGGTAGCTCATCAGTAAGAGATGCCACCGATAGGACAGCCAGCAAGGAACAGCGGTGGTACGAGGAACAGAGGTGTGCCTTTCCCCATAGCAATATCTGTGGGTCACAGATGATGGTTAGAAGATCCTACAAGCCAGCATGGCTAAAATCTACCAGTGGAGGAACAATGACCACATTGAACCACATTTCGGTTTTGACTTTAAAGCAAAGAGAGTGACTGCCAGGACATCCAGAACCTACGGATGGGAAATTCAATCTATTTTATATTGAATCTGCACATCTCTCTGTGCAACTCCACTGCAAGTCCACGGGTAAAGCCTCCTATGTTCAAAGCTGTTACCCTATTGTGTTTGTGCACCTGGGAGTGAGGAATAAACAAATTCTTAAGGAGAAAAAAAAAAGAAAAATATTAGTGAAAAAAAAAGAAGGTTCTGGAAGGCAAAAAGAAATAACAGGGTCAATTCAAAGTATCATCATCAGACTGCATGAAGGTCATTCCACTGAGACACTCTCATAGATACATTAATCCAAATTTGGTGGCTTATTTCACTGATGGTCAATTGGCTGAACAAGCTTTAAAAACAAAGAGAAGATACATTTGCAAAACACAACAGTGCCTCAGTTTGCGTGAAGGAAAACTAGACTGATGACTTTTCGGAAGTTTTCTTAAGAAAGCCTATCAAACCATGACTGCACTACAGCATGGGTCACAACCTGACGATCTTCTCGAAGAGGTCAGCGACTATGCCAGTGAGGTTAAATACCTCCTTCCCAACCTCTAAAGTCAGCACAGAGCTCAATCTAACATCAATAGCAGTAACCCATCCTGGGTATAAAATGGAGGATTCGAGCAGCTGTCGTCCTTAACGTTTCTGAATTCAAGTGCTACCCTGGTTACTGCAAGCAGCTCTTCACAATGCTCGGAATAACTGGGGTTACCCAGGAGTGTATTAGACAAAATATGGAAAACAACACATGAATAAGTCAAGTCATTCTGCACGTCACTCTTCTTCAAAGCTCGCTAAGACCTTTTTCATGAGGCTGAGCCACGACGCAGATCAAGGCCAAAGCACCAACAAAAGCTGTCGTAACTTTGTTTTCTCAATCGAAATGCAAGAAACCCCCAAGCTCTCATTAGCCAGCAGTTTTATGTGATGAATACCTAACAAAATCTACCAATGCTATATTTGTCAAAGTCCTCTGAAACCGAACTACAGCATGTCTTATTCTAAACCTCAGACTTTCAAAGCCAAAAAAAAAAAAGGAGGGAAAAACTTAATCTGCGAATAAACATTTTTTTTTTCAGCTGTAAAAACTGTGGCTTATTAGTGTGGCGTGACTTCAAGGAGAATAAATTATTTTGTTTTCTTTCCATAGCCCCTTCTACCACATCCATTTATTTGAGATAGCAAATCAAGAGAGACAGTGAGAGGTCTGACATGCAGCTGGTTTCAGTCAATAGGGGTCATTTCCATTTGGTCTGTGTATTTTACAAGCTCCTTGTTCACTGTTCCCAATGGGAGGGTGGGCCAAAAAAAAAAAGGAGGGAAAAACTTAATCTGCGAATAAACATTTTTTTTTCAGCTGTAAAAACTGTGGCTTATTAGTGTGGCGTGACTTCAAGGAGAATAAATTATTTTGTTTTCTTTCCATAGCCCCTTCTACCACATCCATTTATTTGAGATAGCAAATCAAGAGAGACAGTGAGAGGTCTGACATGCAGCTGGTTTCAGTCAATAGGGGTCATTTCCATTTGGTCTGTGTATTTTACAAGCTCCTTGTTCACTGTTCCCAATGGGAGGGTGGGCCAGCTGCCCTGGATCCCAGTCCTGGTAAGAAACCAGCTCTCTACCTCATCCTGTCCCAGTGCAGCAACAGCCATCGCCCGGCCCTCGCCTCCCTTTAACTTCGTGCTTAGATCAGCTCTGCAGCAGCGAGAGCCCTGCCTGCACACACACCCGGAGCAACGTTTATCTGCTGCTAACCAGTCGCTGCTGCCCATCAGAAACATTTGGGGAACGATAAACATTTTTTTTTTTTTTCATTTGGTCTTCAGCGAGATCAATTGTTTTGGATGTTTTACTTCAGAGCACAGGGAGGGAAAATCACCAGAACTTAGTGAACTCTCTGCATTGAGTATGTGTAGAGCTGGAAGGGCAGGCTGCATTTTTGTTATTGTTCTTTTTATGTGTGCTAATTGCAAACAGCTGTTTTAGTTTAGTGTCAAATAAAATGCAATGGCATCAAAATTGAGCTTACTGGACTGACTGCATTAGCAAATCCCCTCTAGAATGAAACGATAACCCAGGGCCCAATCCTGCGGCCGTTCAGTTTTTCAGGAATTGTGTGACTGACTTCACCAGAGCCTGCGGGTACCTGGCAGTTCACAAATTGGGGTGAAACAGAGGACTCACTATGCAGATCTGCTCTCACCAAAAATCGAAATTTCTGCTAACCTCAGTGACAGTGTTTTTTTAGGGCATAATCCCTCTTCCTTTTATAGCACAATTTAAAAAAAAAAATCCTCACCAACCTCAAGCCAAGAGGAAATACAGGTGCTCATCTTACCTGGCTTACTGACTATTTTTATTATTTCATCAAAGTAACATGGCGACCAACATCAGTTACAGCTGATTTCCACTCGATCATGGCATTTCCATTAATGGCTGTCAGTGGCACAGCCAACATGAGAAATCTTTCCCAGAGAACAGCCTGCTTTGCCTCTGATCAAGTGAATAAAGAAAATTGCCTTTTGATCCTAGAGGAAGACAGAAATACATAAACTCTCATCTTTGATGCTTAGGAGGAAATAGAAACAATGGATATCGGTGCTCCACGGGCATGAATGTTGTATTCCCTGTACTATTGCTCACAGTAACGCCCCTAACTGACACATTTACGCTGAAGCCACCCCATTGAATGTCATATGAAGTTAACACCTCAAAGAAGTTATCATTGCACCTGGAATATTGGGGTTTTTTTGGAAACAGACAGTTTTCACAGTGCTTCCTCCATCTAAAGTCTGACATCATGGTGCAGTGAATAGCTTGATGTTTCCTTTTATCAACATAGATCATAATTTATTTGCTGAACGTCTTTGGGCAAACCCTAAGTCTGCCAAAAACCAGCTACAAGCACTTGAGATCACGAATGAAAAATAATATCAGCTTCCCTAACACTTCCGCAGTTCAGGATCTTGCTGCTTTCTAATTTTTCTCTTATCATGACATGTATTTCAAGGTTGCCTTTGTTTTTGCCCCACCTTTCTTGCTCCAAACTTGCCAGTGAAAAACAGACAGCATTTTTTCAGTTAGAAGAAGAAGAAAAAAAGTTTTATAAATCAAATTGTAGATTTGGAGGCTGCTTTTCCCACAACTAAAAACTCAAATAATTTGGGGGTTTTCATAAGTATATAAATATTTATAATATTTATAGAAATTTATATTTATAGTGCAACAGGCTATAAATATTCTATTATATGCCATAATCCGTATATGACAATAAACTACAACTTTCTCTCATGTATTCCTCAGTGGGCAAATGACAAAAATGTCCTCCAGTTTTACAGATGTTATTACCTGAGTGGTCTCTGCTTGCCTCAAACAATATGCCATTGTACCATCCAGCTGAATTTTAGGTCAGGACAGACATGGAGTCCTGGTTTTGAATAGGATTGAATTGTTCTGAATAAGTATGCATTGCTGCACTCAGAAAAAAAACCTCTTTTCCCTTTCTGGTCTGCATGCCCAAATCCCACTA